TTCTGGCTGGTTCACAACGAAGTGAGAAATCACTGGTATTTAACACGCAATTTTGACTATGATCAAAGCTGTCTGATCGGCATCAGGTACACACGCTTCGTCGTCCGCCGTTGCTGAATTGATTGCTCGGAAGCTGGGTTTTTGGCTCTCCTACTTATTAGGAGAACCAGCTCCGAACGTAGCGGGACTATATAACAACCAATGGAATAACCGCTTTCGTTGAGATAGATTTCATTGGTTGTTCTTCACTCGCCCTTGACGGATGAGTTGTATTCTTAGTATCACTTTTGACCGCTTGTACATGACAGTGATCAATATAGCAGATGGCTCGCACGTTCATTGAATTTTCTGGTTTGATCAAGCACACCAGATGATCAAGCGGCTATCCGGACCCGGAGTTCACGGTAATAAGAAGGAGACTGCAGTCTACAACATTGCTGCGATTTTGGTGGAGGGTCTCAGTGGGGTTCATTTCCGGCAAAACTTCTGCAGAGAACTTGAAGAAAACGGACAAGAACAGTCACCGCCAAAAGCCTTTTTGAAGCAAAATTTGTACAAATCTCCCTACTAGGTCCCATGAATTAAACAGTACATGCACAAATATTTCTATGCCAACGTTTTGTTTGTAGGTAGGTATGTACGACACATTCCATTTCACTTACCTGAATTGAAGAAGGGTATCAGTGCTACAGGAGAAATGCGTTCGGTATACGGGCTGTGCAATTTACAAACCTGTACTTTTTCGTCTTATCGATTCCTTGTTCTATCCCACGGAAAAGTTTTCACACGAGAGCACTTAAACATTAAATTTTAGACTTTCAAAGTTACAGAATGAATATGCGTCAAGATGCGTCAAGAAATTCATTGAAGCAAACCGGCGGTTTCAGTTCCGTTCTAAGGTAGAGAGACTGTAGTTTAATGTACACGTCCGCAAAATAGCAGTGTCATCGCCGCATACGAAATACAATTGTAGCTTAGAGCGAAAAAAGTTTTCCAAGCGCGCATCTCGTTCCTTCTGTTGAAAGACAAACGGAACTTCTTTTCAGAGAACTAATGGGAAATGAATTCGGATCCATGTGGAACTCGGTTCCTTTTGATGAGAAACTGAGCTATTTAGTTTGAAGCCATTTAACTCAGTCACACGGCGCAGCCGCGTTATTAAATTTATTGACCTATCATTCTCATGATCAGTATATCGATGAACCGATGAACCTCAAAAAGACGGTATCGCAAACTAGAAGGACGAGATATTCACGTGTGGGGATCAAAGGTTTTGCAAATGCCAAAGTGCGAGGCAGGAGAATAAAACACTTTTGGGGAGAGCGAGCTTGAAGGACGAATTTGGGGCTGAGAGCTTAGAAAGGTAAATCGTATGCCTAAAGATTATTTGTTAGGAGCATTCAAGGTTTTTTTTACTAGAATATGCAGTGCGGCTGGTTAAGGCCTCCACACGTCTGATGTCAATTTGTGCTGTCCTCAGAATGCCGATTTTGATTGCCTCTCATTTTGGAAAGCCTCTGTAAGGCGGACGGTGAGAAGGATCCCGTCAACATCGTGTTGTGTGACCGATTGATGGACAGACATACCAGTGTAGGAAAAAGGCCTTCATTGCGGAGCTATTTTTTTTAGAAAACACCAAGTGAACTGTTATAGACCATTGAACAGGGCAGCAAAGCTCTCATGTGCATCTTATTTACAAAAAAACTGAATATCCATCTTCTCCTTGAAAGCGTCCTCCTTAACTTTTCTGTATATTCGTTGACTATTTCTCAAATGCAGGCAAATTCCGTAATAGATCTCACTGTTCAAGAGACGATAAAACATACGACTCGCATGCCCCGTCAGTAGTATCGACCGTTACACCAGGATATAGCTTAGAACTGCACGTGGTCTGGAACGACGAGATAACGGGGACTTTCGCTGCAGTGGTTCTCTGTCGAAATCCTAGGACGACTGTCAGACAAGTTTGGACGTGCATGGGATCGCTTGATAACTCAAGGCCATGATCTCCAGCTCTCTCACAAGATAGTAGACAAACAGCACTTTAAGCCAAGCATACTGAGCCCGGTAGCTATTCCATTCATAAAAGTAACAGCGGAAGGATGTTAAAACCAGCTCTGGCGCAGGTGGTTTTGTCCTTCTCGAGAAATAGTATTCGACAGCCTACTGAAGCCTTCACTCTTCTTAGGGATGTTCGTTTTAGCCTGAACCAGTCAAACCTCTACTTTTGGACATTTGAAAAGCGTTCAAAACAACGGTTACTGCTGAGCTGTTTGCATGACACGACACTTTACTTGCGGTTATATTTATAAGGTACCACAAAAGCTTGAGCTCCATCTTTCACTACCTTCTTGAAGAGAGAACTTTCCGGTTGGAGTTCGCGCACACACGTAGACCAGTGAAAAAGGGGGGAACCGAGGTCTTCTACGTGTAAGGACTGACGTCCATTTCTCGGATTTTGCGTGAAACAATACGATCGATGATTGCAAAAGTCCTACTTGACTGAAGGCTGTTTCGATGGAGCACACTAGCAATAAGTTTGGTGAAAACAACTCGACAAATCAGAATCGGGATTGCCCTCTATGGGGCTCATCCGGTAGGCGCGAGTGGGAATTTTTCATCAACCTTATGTTCTCGTTAAACCGTGGTGAGTGTTGCCCTGGCAAATTCGGTGCATGCTGGAAACAATGCGAAAGTTAGAGAGTCGGAAAAAAAACTCATCGCTTCCGGAACCTCACTTTCAGCACTTATTGGCCCGAAAGAAGAACCACGTATTTGGTTTGGCTAGGAAAGATGGCAGGGTCACGCGCTACAAATAAACATTTATGATGCAAAACGGCATTTCAATAAAAAAAGATGACGATGAAGATGACTACAACTTACACTTTAGCCCTGGAGATTGGAAAAGAAAGGTGATCTATAGCATATATTCAAAATCATCCAAGTTGAAATGCAGTTGATCGCATTCATAATCCTGTCCGCTCACATCTCACCGAGTCGGGGGGAAGATACCCATGGTTTCCTATAACGAGGGTCCACTAAATACTGGTGAAAGGAAGAAGGCCTTTGCTTCGGAGTTATCTATTAGGAAACGCCAAGTGAACAGTTACAGACTGTTGGACAGAAGCAAAATCTCATATGCATCTGGTCTACAAAAACTGAATATCCATCTTCCGAAAGCGTCTTTCCTGGACTTTCCTGGATATTTAGTGACTGTTACTCAAATGCAAACAAACTTCGTAATAGATCTCACTTTTCAAGAGACGCGAAGCGGATTTACGAGAAACGTACTACTCACATGCCCCATCAGTAGTATCCACCTATACACTGGTACAGCTGACGAACTCCGCTATACGCGAGACGTAAGATAAGTTGTGAGTTTTGTGGGATATATATTTTTGTTCATATTCACGCCACTCTCATTTGAATGGTCGTCCTCATGTACTGGCGCAATTGGTCTAGTGAGTCCACACACCAAACGGGTGAAATACTGGACTCGATTTTCGCTCTTATTAGAGCTCATCACCAGTGCATATCCAATGGCCATTCAAACGAGAGTGGAGTGTGAATGTGCACAGAAATACACATCCCACAAAACCCTACAACCGAAACTGATAAGGTCGCCCAGTGGGTTTCAGGCGTGTGTCACGCTACCTGACTGGGAAGTCCTGATTGGCGGGTCAATCGATCGTCACAACCAGGACAGTTACTGGGTCGATGTTGGATGATTGGTCGGGCACACCAATCACAACGCTGAAGCGTGATCACGTTTGCCTGATCAGACATGAACATTTACATGCGTAAAATGTGCGCTGGTGGAGCAGTGGTTACATGCTTGCCTCGCATGCCAGATGTACAGAGTTGTAATCCCGTCACGGCCATTGGATTTGCACTGCTGATGAGTGAAACTCGAATCCAGCGCTTCCCTTCCGTGAAGACTCATCAGAATGATTACGCCAGAAGAGAATGGCGCCCGTTCAAACGAGAGCGGCGTGAATATTAACCAAGAGTGAGTGGACAGTAGCTCAAGGTGAGCACTACTCAGATAAGATAAACATTCCACACATGGACCACTACTCGCAAGTGAACAGTAGATTGGCTCTTGATATTAGTCCTAATTCAGAGGGTAAATCAGTCGTTTTCTGTGTCAGCGAGGTATAACTCCAACAAGATTCGTTTTTGGGATAGCATATCAAGAGCCTCAGAGTGCATCCATGCTTTTACCGCCAAAATTAACCAGTTCCCCCCAGTTTGAAGCTTGAATCCTGTGGAGCGTCTTAAGAGATGTCGCTTTTTAACAGTCCATCGATAAAAATATTGCAGTCCACACGTTTGTTTCACCTGCAAAAATTGAAAAAAAACAAACACTACCTGGCTGAAGGACATATATTCAAAACTTTAATCTGGAAATGGGATATAGTTTTGTGATCACTCATTCCAGGCGGCTGAACACTAGCATTCATCCAATCTCGTTTGACTGGTGAAACTAAGAAACAACACATTCATTGGTGCTTACTGGATCGACTCATGTTAGGTCGTCATCTTGCCATGCTGGCATGTATTTTACTGGAAGCTGCTCAAGGAGGAATCACCGCGAAGTGATATCTGGAAGATATTCACACAAATCCTGAATGGGTTAGAAAAAAGCTTCTGTTGATTTCTTTGACGATGGAAACAAGCGAATATCGTTCACATTTGCAATTATTCAGTCTTGAGGCCTGAAATCCCAGTAGAGGAATGAATAAGAGAACATGCCTTAAATTCTTCGTGCGAGAGTTCGTTTTTGAAATTTCCGCCGAAGCGTATCACAGATAACTTCAGAAGTTCAGACAAGGATCGAATTCAAACAAATCCAATTATGACTTACGCCATGCTCGCCGAACTTTTCCCAACACTGAAGCATTTTGTGCCAGTTCGAAGAAACCGAGAAAAGACGTCGTGTCACAGAGGAATTAGATTATTTGTTTCACTTGAAAATTTTCCAATGAAATCTCAGTTAGAGTAGTATTTCTTGAAAAAAAAACAGTCTCAGGTGCGCGACTAAACTCCACTAAAAAGGTGCTCCTCGCTGGACGTTGTCTAGTAGGAAGCGCATTACCTGTGCTCTCTACTGAGGTGGTACGGTCACCCACTCAAAAATGGATGAGAATTGCTGGGCGCGACACGGAGACAAGGAATATCGAGTACGTTGTTTCACCATGTCGTGTAACTATATTACTTTCAATCAGTAATCAGTAACTGTGGAACGCTCCGGCACAGGTCCGTCCAGGTCAACCTGGAGGGGGGACAAGCACACTGCATGTTTTAATAACCAAATGAAAAATTTGATCACGATTATAAGCTATTTTCAGGTTTTTCGTTTCTCTGGGGCAATCGAAAGTGTCCCATGTCCGACTCACGTGTGTTCAGGGTCGCCATAGGAAATACCTTCAGAATGCCTTCAGAATGGTTCCGTTGCTATGGCTACATTCTTCTGCAGTGCTTCTATGACGAGGAGGCATTTTTAACCGCCTAGTTCGAAGATCTTATGATGTTTTGCCCAGTAGTGATATTGCTTTTCTTTGGCAAGTA